CCTCAGCATGCTATACGTGTGTGTGTACACCATCCTGCCTCTCCCCCCCATGTGCTATACATGTGTGTACACCATCCTGACTCTACCCTCAGCATGCTATACGTGTGTGTGTACACCATCCTGCCTCTACTCCCCATGTGCTATACATGTGTGTACACCATCCTGACTCTACCCTCAGCATGCTATACGTGTGTATAAACCATTCTCTCTTAACATTATATACCAGACTGAGGGTTATCTCCTTCTCTAAACCCTGACACCAGCATTTCCCACAACCTCTAATCAAGTACCAAACCCCAGTGAGCATGGAGTCTACCCCAGATAGCACAGGACATGGAGCAGTGAACACCCCAGGATGGCATGCAGATTTGTACCTCCAGTTCAGGAAGTGTGATGCTCCAGTGCTACCCACTGAGCCAAGATGCCACAATATTTTATCCAGTTTGGTTTTTATTTGGTTAGTTATTTTTCCCAATCATTTTATTTACTGAAACACATATCACTGCATAGAAAATGGCTGCTTGGAAAACAGAAAAGCACACGGGCACTATATAAACAGCAAATAATAGCATTTTAACTTCTATACAGACAAGACTTCACATTTACCTTCAGAAAGGCAAGTAGAACAAGTATCACAGCTTACGGCAAACTCATTTAGTCATGAAGCGCTACAAGTTTCTATACGTTTACTTCACTTTCGTGACCGTTGATAGATTTACACAACAACAAGCAAGCAAGCCGACAAATGAATGGACTGATGTGAAATATATAGATACTTTATTAATCCATAAGGAAAAATGCATGTTTGCATTAGCACAACACACATACACTTAGACAGGGAAAAAGACATTTAGACATAAATAAGCAATAATGAATTAATGAGAAACGGTAACAGTAACAATACAAAGAATGTCAGAGAAAGTATTGCAAGGAATTTGAAAGTAGATAAATAGAAATAAATAGTATCGCACAGCGGGTCATACAGGGAATGAATGTTCTGTCAATGTACCTAAGCGGTTCTGGTCCACTGGGACAGTTAAACACCCCGCCCTCCATAGAGCGACTCACTGTATAGTCCAGTGACCAAAAGTAGGCGTGACCTTATACAGCGCTTCTCAGAGCAGTGCAACTATCTCAGCGTGCTGCTGACAGTACCCGTCTGTGTAGCCATGAGGTGCGAACACAGCGAGAGCCGTCACCATCAAACTGAGACGGCTGAAGTCAGAGAGATCTTCTCGCGGCTCGATGTGCCGAGTGCAGACTCCCTAAGTCTTCTCCCGGTTTCACCCAGTCATCAGACTCTGCTGCTCGAAGGCCTGGGTATGAACGTCAGGAACAAACGGGGACACACAGCACAACGGCCAGCCGAGCTCTCACGGAACAGGCCGGACACTGCAGCCAGTCTGCACTGCTTGACCCAGTGTGAACCTTCTCTTCTTGGTGTGTCTCTGTGCAAGTGCAGTGAGGCCGCACAGTGCGACCGACAGTGAGGCCGCACAGTGCGACCGACAGTGAGGCCGCACAGTGCGACCGACAGTGAGGCCGCACAGTGCGACCGACAGTGAGGCCGCACAGTGCGACCGACAGTGACGCAAGTTCATACAGACTCATGCTGGTTGATAGCAGCACTGATAGGTGACATATTCACTGTTAAACTGATTAAACTGATCTTTGCCGTTACCACACCTTAACGATGACCATGAATGCAGTTGCTGGGCTTCCAAGCAGGCCCTGACACACTACCTCCTAAACTACAATCATGAGAGCTCAGGAACTGTGAAGCAGCACTGTTAACACCTAACCCTTTATAACTCAGGGTCACGTTATATTACAATATTTACGGTACTCTACATTCCTATACACTAGATTCTACCACACTGTGCAGAGAGAGCTTTGCTACTGCAGGGATTAACGTCTGCAGTTTGAATTATCTAGGTTCTATTTAAGCATTCAGGTTCTGGGTTTTATTGGTTACTGCCTTCTTTAAGGAGTGGAAAGCTACTGCACACGCACACACATCAAGGCGCACCTACCCCACACGACATACTCTGTGAGGGGCAGCATATTTGAGACCGGAAGTGACATGAATGGCCCGTTTATTAATTACTGGCGGGCTAGTGGTGCCAGTGTCATGGGGGGGGCCCGAAGGCGCACATCGCTGAGATGAGCCCTCTGTCTGCCCGCTGCTGGCATGGCCGAATTTGCACCCTCCGTGGAATTTTCTCTTGCGATGCCCCGATGCCCTCGTCTCCCTCAGCACCAATAGGGGGCAGCGCAGCCTACAGACGCCTTCATATGAGAAATGCAGCGGGGTTTTCCACGGGGCCGCCTGCCGACACAACCTGGAGGGAAGCTGGGCCCAGGCCACGCCCACTGCCAGCTCATTGTCCAATCAGGCTTTGGCTACACATTCTAAGAATTCCACTCAAACAAGAATAAAACGAAACCTGCACTCCGTGTAACCAACGGGATGCTTAATTGCATTTGATAAAACAAGTTTCATTCAGGAGCATAAACACTAGACAAAACTTTTGGATTTTTGATATGAAAACTTAAGAAAAGCACAGAAAAGAAAATAACTGGCCTGAATAACTGAAATAAATTACACGTGAACAGACAAAAGGCTACTCGTGCTTTTTCATCCTCTAAAGATCATTGACATTTTAACCAGTAATGAAGAGAGCAGACCACATATTCACTTCTGGTGGGATCACTGGAAACTCTGCGTAAGCTTGCTACGAGTAAATTTCAAAGTTTCAAAAGCCAGTGGAAATATTTGGCTAGACTTAAAAAGCAGGCACTGTGATGTCATAAGCCATACAGTGGCAGACACAAGCAAGACAGATGTAAGGGATGAGCCAAACTGAACCGGACGGTCTAGTGGGACTGTCGCACGTCTTAAAAGAGCTCTCAGAATAACAGCAATTGAGACCCTCACATGGTAAAGGAGTAGTGAGAACTGGAGTGATTGTGATTATCACACAAACACAACAAAAGACCAGTGAGCTCAGTGACCAAATGGGATCATCACACAGACAAAGAATGTATCAAAAATGACCAAATGGGATCATCCTGTGTTAAAAAGAGCAGTGAAAATAGGAGCTAATGGGATCATCAAAATGTCAAGAGAGCAGGGAAAGTATGAGCTAATAACAGAGCAGAAAGGAGAGGTATGTAGCAGGAGAGGTAAGAGGAGATGTATTTCCAGATGAGCACTGCCCTCTGGAGTCGCCACCCCCCCCCAACCCCCACCCCCCGGCTGCTGACGCTTTCTCCTGGGACGTCTGGAACACACCCGAGCTCCACAAGGCCGGCGGGCCAGAGAGGGACCCTGTTGTCCCACACCGTGGGGGCATGGTGACTCTCAGGCCCACACAGCTGGACAGGGAGAACCGGATGGGGGGGGAGGGGGTGGGGGCGGAGGAAAGCAACGGAGATGAAAGCAGAAGGGGCGCGCGGCAGTGAGGAAGCGCACAGGCAACAGATGTTCCCCCCCCCTCCGCTAAACGGGCCCCTCTGCGTGTTTGTTTGTGCCAGGAGGCTTTCCTGCCCCACGCCACTATCGGTACAGCCGGCCCGCCCTGGACGGGGGCAGGCAACAGCAGACCACGCCGTCCGCTGCCCTGAACGAGCCCATGCAGCCGTGACAAAGAAAAGCAAGGAGAGAAAAGGAGGGAGAGAAGGAGAGAGAGAATTTATTCTTAAAATTCAGGTTCGATATTTCTGAAGCAGAAAGCACACTCTTCACGAAGATCCACTGCAGCCCATCTTAAGTAACACCCTTGCTGTCGTGCTTCTACAGTAGATAAAAGTTTGTTTTGCGAGGGTTAGGAGAGCAAAACACAGAGAAAAGCAAAAAAATATATATTTTAAAGTACAACGTAAAAAGACTGACCTTCAAAATCTGATATTATTCCCTCCAAGTGAGCATTAACCGTGGAATCAGACATCTTTTGTCTTAATATCACAGTGAGGAGATCCCTTTCCAATCAAGGTAACGTTTCAGAGGCGTTCTCTGTGTCTCGAACAAATCCCAAATTAGGAGTCAAGACAAAAAAAAAAAAGACCTTGTGCCTCAAAGATCCAGGCCCACTGCTTTCTTAAAGGACCAAAATCTCCAGCTCGCGCCACTCCTGCTTTCCTCGCCGCCGAGCTCCGGGGGGAAGGCGAACAGCACCCCCCTCCTTCTCTCTGGCTTCTCTCGCTCCCTCCCTCTCTCCCCTCCGCTCATCCAGCAGCTCAGCTCGCTACGTTAGCCGCAGCACTGTGAGAGTCACCATCACGCCCACACATGTCCGCACGCGCGCGCACACACACACAGACACACTCACACACAGACACACACAACCATCGTCCTCTCACAGAGATAAACCGAACACAGCTTGCTCTGTTGCACTCTCCCAGCTTAAGGTTCAAGCCAATGAGACACTCTGACTACTTAAGCTGTTTTATTTTTTTTTAACTTGACTCTTTAAATTTGACCGCAAAGCAGCTGACGCTGGCAGAGCCGTTTATGGTAGTGCCTGCAGGACCCCTTCGGTCCGAAGTCATTTCCCTCCGTAGTCACGCTGTTTCTTTCCAAGCAAGTAAACGGTGTATGAGCGCTACACTTGTTAAACAGCGACAGGAGCTGTCAGAGAAACAGCATTTCTAATTTTACACTTCATATTTTATCTGAGTCTGAGCTAAAAGTGTCCCTAAGAGAATTCAGTCACATACTGCATTGAAAAAGAAGCGCAGTTACAGATTCCCTGTAAATTTTGGCCCGGTGTTTACAAAAGACAAATTGCACAGATCAGCATCGAGAAATACATGCAAAAAGGACAACATTTTCCCAGCTTTACTCTTCATACTTATACGGACCCCTGCTTCAGTCCTAATTAGGCGATGAACACAATTGTTTACTATACTTAGAAAGAGTTCACAATAAAAGCACCTTCTGTGAAAGCGCTGGGCCTCGGGGCCCGAAAGCAAACAAACATCTCCAGATCTGGCGAATTACATGCAGAAGTGGGGGTTTGGTGAGCCTCAGGGGCCCCTACCACACCCAGCGCACTCAGGGCAGGGGGTGCGGGGAGGAGGAGGAAAAGCCATACCAGCGGATCTGGTAAGAACTTCAGGCGATTTGTCACTGAAAGCAACGCCCCCCTCCCCCACCCCCCTGGCACAGTGTGCTGAGAGCTGCTTTCCTGAACACACTGTTTTTATTGCATGTTCCCTTTTCCTCCATCCGCAGAGTCAGAGGCGGGGGGGGGGGGGTTGAGAGTCCCGCGCCACGCCACCCCTCCCACCCTCCTGGCTAGCGCTGCCGCTGACCTTTGTGGGGGTGGATAGAGGCTGGGGGGAGCTGTGGGGGGTCAGGAGGCTCTGAGAGTGCGGCCACCCGGCTCGGGACAGTAACGGGTACGATTCAGCTGCAGGACCCGCAGAGAACAAAGCGCAGAGCAGGACTGAATGGGAATCCCACACACTGCCCGGCCTGTAGCATGTCCCCAGTCACAGCGCTCTGGCTGCCATTTTTATTATCACTGTTCATCATCAATAAAGACAAATGGTGAGAAGCAGCGGGATTGAAATGGACACACTGCAGCCACCAGGGGGCTACGAGGCGAAACAAGGCCATTTTCACTGCACATTCACGGGTATTTTTTTCATTCCAGCAAACACTCTGCGAGAGATATTTTGGTTTGTGGATAAAGTATAGATGTTCAGGAAGATGTGTCTCACAGATGTGCAGGATTCTGCATCTCACAGATGTGCAGGATTCTGCATCTCATGAATGTGCAAAAAATCTGCATCTCACAAACATGCAAAAAATCTGAATCTCACAAGCGTGCAAAAAATCTGCATCTCACGAGCGTGCAAAAAATCTGCATCTCACAAACGTGCAAAAAATCTGCATCTCACAAACGTGCAAAAAATCTGAATCTCACAAGCGTGCAAAAAATCAGCATCTCACAAACATGCAAAAAAATCTGCATCTCACACATGTGCAGGATGCTGCATCTCACAGACATGTAGGAAATTGCATCTTACGGACATGCGGAAAGTTGCACCTCACAGACATGCAGGAAGCTGCATCTCAGCGATGTCCAAAAAGTTACACCTCAGAGATGTGCAAAAAGACGCACCTCACAGACATGCAAAAAGCTGAACCTCACAGACACGCATGAAGCTGCATCTTGTAGATGTGCAAAAAACTGCATCTCATAGATGTGCAGGGAGCTACATCTCACCGATGTGAAAAAAGCTGCAGAGGGTGGTGTGCTCCTCTTACACATGTAAACATTCAACCACCTGAATCCCAGAGAACATCCAAACACGGCAGGTCACGGCACGAGGCTAAAGCTCCATCCCAGCCTTCCTCCTAGTTGCGCTGTGATTAGCTGCTATCAGAAACGTGTGTGGGGGGGGGAGCTAAAGGCCACAACTTCTGGGTTTAATGCTCTCCATCCAAACACGAGAGCTTCCACATACAATGAGTAACTTGTGTGTGTGTGCTTTCAGCTACATAAACTACAGAGCTGCTGACAGATACACAGCTAGTTTCCAACAACAAAAAATACAAACTGTAACTACAGTAGCCAGAGCGTTTAAACAACACATTACCAAACATTTGAAACACATCATACGGAAGTCACTGGACCAACGCCCTTGATTAACATAAATTTACATAAAATCAGATCAGATGCTTAGCATTGGCATTAATTAAGGGACAGCAAAGAAGCAGATGACAGCAGCTCAGTCACAGTGGGCTGAAGAATTGTCAAGGGGAGATTAGCGTGCCCGCACACTAGGGGGCAGTGGTGAGTCAGAGCACAGGCCTACAGGAGTGCTCACTTTTGTCACTTATACACTGTGACCTGTTGCGTCCCATGAGAGTAGCATCCCCAACCAACGCAGCCCTGAAACGGGCATGTAATTCATACGCATAGTTACTTTNGACACAATGCAAAAGCAGAAAAATCATTTTCCATTCAGCACCCCAAAGTCCTACTAATGAGGACAACAGCTGTCAGAGACCCAGCTCTGCCCAGCCATAGAGATGGTGCTTTCAGATAAACAGCAAGTTGCTTCTTCAACCCGTGACATCACTTCCTGCTGTCTGGTGTCGATGCCACCTGCTGTCGTCCTCCTAAGGTCTCTTTGTTGAGAGCAAGCCTTCAACAACACTGTGATTAAAAACTACAGAGGGACCATAGTGCCCTATGATAACGGCATTAGTTTAAGCCACAAGCAGGTGAGCATGACATCAACTACAGTCACCACCATCATGGGTTCAAATCCCAAGGCTGGCAGAGTCACCATATCACTGTTGGGTCCTTGAGCAAGGTCCTTAACCCCAACTGCTCCAGGGACACTGGCTGACCAGGCTGTCTCGTATGTCACTTTGGACAGAAGCGTTTGATGAATAGTAACTGGATTTTTTAGAAAAGAACAAAAAATAGCATGCTCAGATTCACGATGGAAACAATTTGTGTAAAAGCTTTTCTGTTGTCAGTTTCTCAAGAAAAAAGTTTCATAGTTCATCATTCTGAAATAAGTGCATCGAGATTACAAAACACTTTGGCAGCAACAGGTATGGGCATATAGGCGACACAATAGCCGGAAAGAGTCAGGATTTAATCGTCACATCAGATTCAGAGTAGCAGGAACGTGTCACCATGGGAACCAGTCCAAAACAAGAAGTGAGCAGGACTAGGAAGTTACACTGCGTACAATTTCCCCTATAAACCCGAACTGCAGGTCTGCAGAGAAGCGGAGGCTCTTCACCCAAAAGCAGCAAAAGTCCATCTGAAACTGCAGCTCTTCACTGCTTCCATGCTCTTAAATCATCAAAAGGAAAAAAAAATCACAAAAATATCAGAGTAAGGGACATTTATGTTAATTGCTACTGGAAGAATCTGCAGCACTCGACAAATCTGACAAAGCAGCAGCACCACTGTGTGGACATCTGTGAAACTGCAAGATTAGGTACTTCTAGTTCTAAACAGCCCAAAGGATCTCGCTATTTTCGGTTTTAAATCACAATTCACGTGACCATCAAAAATTACGCTTAGCTGAATTTGCAGAGTTACGGTCGCGTGAGCTGAAGTCACTCCAGGTCCCATCAGCCCCTGCAGAGGCCCCCCCCAGTCGAGAACCCAGCAGATGGTAATTTAAGCTACAGGTCAGTGGTTGTGGTTTGAGTGATGGTGAGAAGTTTCAGTCACGCTATAGGATGGGAGGGGGGGGACGTCGCAAGCCAGCCAGCTGTGCCAGCTGACAACCAGAGGGGTCCTTCGCACGGCATCTACAGGTCACCAGCATTCCCAGCCAACATCAGCAGGCATCTGACTAGACGGCCCAAAGCGAGCAGATGGCACGGCGCAACACCTTCACATCGGAGCGCTCCGGCGTGGCATCAGCGGCATGAGGACCCCTCAGACGGGGCGGGGCTCAGTTACAGAGCACAGCTGGGAATTCCCTACAGTCACACATGGATCCTAGTTTTCTACAGGGACATTTTTATAATTCCCACGACAACACCGACCCCCCCCCCCCCCCCCCCCCCCCCCCCCCCCCCCCCCCCCCCCTAACACCCCACCTCCCCCCGCAGAGTCACACTAACTGAGCTTAACATCTAGCCCATAACAGCCAATCAGACCCTGCAGACCGCAAACATGCAGAGTTGAGCGACAAGCTGTCCGCTTACAGGACCACAACGATGGCGCACCTTCAGAAGACATGGTGAGAGACGTCAGCCACCCTAAACCATACCGGGTATGATCTCACACAGAAGAGCTTGTCTAAAATAACATGCACACGTCGAAAAAGGTGCTTATTTTCTTCATGCTGATTATTTGCTAAGGCACATTAGACTATAAGGTACAACAGCAGATCCCCTCGTCAGCTGTGACCCTACAACCTTCAGCTTCTCCTGCGCCACTATGGATCTGATTAGCCCATGTAACACCCTCCAGTGGCATCAATGCACATTTAGGTAGGTGGGATTATTTGTCATTTCAGCCATATGTACACAGTATACAGTGCAACAAAACATTGTTCTTTCAGGGCCAAGCAGAAACAGAAGGACAGAAACAACAAAGGACAACACAAGCGTAATATACAGGACAAGATAACATACAGTGCATACGGCAGTAACCGTGCTGGTCTGAAATGGATATTTAAATAAAGAGTGTTATTGCAGATACAGTACTCATGGCTTATACTGTATTTTAGCAGTAAGATGGCAATAATTAGGAAATAAAAGTGCAAACAGTAGCAGTAGAACATAGAGTGTGCAGTATATAATAAATTAAATTGCATATGAAATAGTTGGTAATTCAGTTTTCATTCAAGAGTCTGACAGCTGGAGGGAAGAAACTGCATCCCATCCTGCCAGAGAAGACCCGTATGCTACGGAAC